CTTTCGCAGGGGCCCGATACTAGATGTCGTTTTTAATCTTGATTTTGCATAGGAGAATAAATATTTCGGATTTCTCTCTATTTCACTGATGGCATTTTGCTCTCTTGGCCTCTCCTGGGTTTTGTATGATTCTTGTAGCTTGCGTTCAATTGTTTCTATTTCTTTACCTAACCACCTTCGCTGTTCTTGAGAGAGGGTGCGACTCTCAAGTTGTTCCGCGATTCGTTTTCTTCGCCTATATAGGGAACGACGTTCCCCTTCCAATCTGCATCTCTTCCTCTTTTTTCTTAGGGGTATGCGGTTTGAACATATTTCTAGTGCTACTGAGCTTATTTTTTCCAGGCACTGGTTCAGGTTTGCATTTTCTAGCTGTTCTTCCCAGTTTAATTCTGTGAAGTCCTGGTTTATTTGCTCCCAGTTTATCTGTTTATTATTGAAGTTGAATTTGCTGAAATCTCCTCCACCGGGAGTCTGGACTGGTTTTGAAGGTCTACTCCCCATGGTTGTCATAACTTCAATTAAGTTGTGATCTGAGTAGCAGGTATTTGTAATCATTATGTTCCTGATCAATTCATCATTATTAGTGAAAATGAGGTCCAGCGTGTTCTCCTTCCTAGTTGGTTCTACTATTTGCTGGTTTAAGGCAAACCTGTCACACAACCGTAGCAGGTCATTTGCATGTGCCTGTTCATTTAGGCTACTTCCTGGTATTCTTTCTGATATTACTGTATTAGCCAGGTGCTTCCATTTCAGGTGCCGTAGGTTGAAGTCCCCAAGCAGGATGATGTTCGGAGCTGGATTTGTGAGGTTTTCCAAGCAGTGTTCTATTTTCATTAGTTGGTCTTTAAACTGCTGAGGGTTTGCCTCCGGTGACTTATATACAAGGACAATAACTACATTTAGAATCTCTATTTTGATTATCAGCACTTCCACCATATCATTTGAGGTGTTTAGCAGCTCAGTACATATGAGTGTGTCTTTGATGTAGAGGCTGACCCCACCCTGAAGCCGGTGTTTCCTATCACATCTGAAAAGATTGTACTCTGAGATCCATATTTCACCATCATGGTAGTCCTTTGTGTGGGTTTCTGTTAGGGCTGCAAACACTGCATTTGCCTCATGAAGGAGACCATCAATAAAGTGAACTTTGTTGGATTTGCGTGTTTTTATAACCTGGATTTTGGCAAATATAAATGATGTTATCGTGTTAGTGGAAGTGCTGGATGCCTTACTTGGTGTTAATATCTGAGGCTTTGGTAAGGAGGCTACTGTGTTTGCGTCCAGGGTGTGTTGTTTTGGAAGTGATTCGTCCAGTTTTGGTAGTAGGACGGGTGTTGTGTGGTGTAGCACCTGTGTGCTTGTTGATAGTTTGTATTCCAGTCTTGTGGGTATCTCCCTTCCCCTCTGTAATCCTGTAGTGGTTCCATCTGACTGTTCCTCTCTCTTATATTTATTACTCTGTTTCTGCCTTCCTCTAAAAAATTTCCAGTAGTGTCATATTGATCTTCCCGTCTATAACGCTGTGTACCTCTCACGTGGAATTCCGGACACTGAAGATTGTAGCATTTTTTGTCCCTAATTGAAAATTGACATAATTTAGGGTGGAAGTATCAACACCCTGTTCCAAAACGGCATGTACCCCTCGCCTACATGTTCCTGCATTTTCGAGGATGCAGAAAATGGCATTTTGCTCCTAATTTTCCATATTTGCATATTCCTTTAGCGTAGAATTTGCAAATGTGTTCCAGTTTTTGCATTTTTCAAGGTTTATATCAGATATTTTCATATCTGTGTCTGTCTTGTCTACCTCTTTATTGGAGCCATCTCCATCTTTTGTCCCAATTCCTTCATTTATGCACTCTGTCTCACTGTTGCTCTCATCGTTTATATTACTTGACTCTGCAATATTGCTGTTATTTTTTTATCCTAAAGTCAGGTTTTTCAATAGCATCAACCTTCATATTTTCTTCCAGATTATAACGCATTGCATACTTTATTCCCGAAAAGACATGGTCACTTTTACCCAAGGGAAGAAAGTACTGAATGTCAAATATTTCTTCCTCCTTCCTGGTAAATATCAAATCTACCATTGAGGGAACGTCCCCTTCCCTCATCCTCGTAGCTTGTTTAACATGTTGATACAAGAATGTTTCCAGGATGAGGTCTACACATTTACAGGTCCAAAAATCTTCTGTTTTAGCTTCATATGCTTCCCAGTCTATGGATTTCAAGTTGAAGTCGCCGACTATCAACAGTCGTGATCTATCGTTATCCACTCTCGCTATCTCATTATTCTTATAAGACCTTCTCGTTTATTATCTAGCTCCTCCTTTGACCATATGCTGCTTGGTGGTGGAGGACTATATGCATTTATGATCATTAGTTTATCATCCTCATGGCAGATCTCTAGTGCTATTATGTCAACTTCTTGTGGATTGGCAGTCATTATTTCGTTCACCTTTAGGTGTTCTTTCACCAGCACAGCAACACCACCGCCTTTCCTAATTTTTCTGTCCCGTCTCCAAATTGAGTAGCCCCTTGGGAATATGACCTCATTTAAAATAACATCTTCAAGTTTTGTCTCCGTGAGTGCAACAATGTCTGGTGTCTGCAGCTGTATTACATCACTTGATGTAATACAGTATTATATACAGTATTATTATATACAGAGCCACTACAGTATTATATACAGTATCGTACACAGTATGTAATACAGTATTACATATTAATACATACAGTGATGTATTACATCACTCGATTACAAAATGAGGGCTGTGATCAGAGGCAATGTATCGGACTGGAGAAATGTCACAAGTGGAGTACCACAGGGTTCAGTTCTTGCACCAGTGATGTTTATTGTCTACATAAATGATCTACCAGTTGGTATACAGATTTATATGAACATGTTTGCTGATGATGCTAAGATAATAGGAAGGATAAGAAACTTAGATGATTGTCATGCCCTTCAAGAAAACCTGGACAAAATAAGTACATGGAGCGCCACTTGGCAAATGGAATTTAATGTTAATAAATGCCATGTTATGGAGTGTGGAATAGGAGAACATAGACCCCCACACAACCTATATATTATGTGAGAAATCTTTAAAGAATTCTGATAAAGAAAGAGATCTAGGGGTGGTTCTAGATAGAAAACTATCACCTGACCACATAAAGAATATTGTGCGAGGAGCCTATGCCACGCTTTCTAACTTCAGAATTGCTTTTAAATACATGGATGGCGATATACTAAAGAAATTGTTCACGACTTTTGTTAGGCCAAAGCTAGAATATGCAGCTGTTGTGTGGTGCCCATATCTTAAGAAGCACATCAACAAACTGGAAAAGGTGCAAAGACATGCTACTAAGTGGCTCCCAGAACTGAAGGGCAAGAGCTACGAGGAGAGGTTAGAGGCATTAAATATGCCAAAACTAGAAGACAGGAGAAAAAGAGGTGATATGATCACTACATACAAAATAGTAACAGGAATTGATAAAATCGATAGGGAAGATTTCCCGAGACCTGGAACTTTAAGAACAAGAGGTCATAGATATAAACTAGCTAAACACAGATGCCGAAGAAATATAAGAAAATTCACTTTCGCAAACAGAGTGGTAGACGGTTGGAACAAGTTAGGGGAGAAGATGGTGGAGGCCAAGACTGTCAGTAGTTTCAAAGTGTTATATAACAAAGAGTGCTGGGAAGACGGGACACCACGAGCGTAGCTCTCATCCTGTAACTACACTTAGGTAATTAACTCCAATATCTTCGATCTTACTCCATCTATGTTGGTGTATGCAATCTTCAGGAACTTGTTCCCCCTCTTCTTATTTTTCACTCCCCCTTTCTCTAATGATTTTGTTGGTTTGCCTTTATGTACCACTTTACTGGTCTGCCTACCCCTATCACTTTGTAGAAAAAAGAATCGATTTCTTCTTCATTCCTGCTCTCATTTAAACGTTTTGCCTCGGCGAGGTTCAGTTTCAGCTTCTCTCTATCTTCTTTTGAAAGATCTTGTCTTAACGACCACACTTTCCCATCCTCATCACTTTGTAATTTTCTAGCATTCCTTAGTACTTCTTCCATCTGTTTGGTACCATTTAGGGTGATCCTCAAAGGTCAATCTTTCCCTTTTACATATCTGCCTATTCTCCTGTAGTCGCAGACATTCTCTATGGTTGTAAGACCTTCCACAAGGCCAACAATTTTATCTACTACTTTTGCTTCTTCTACAGCTCTTTCTGACCTAGATGTTATCTCCTTTTCTTTGCAGCCAAAAATGATCAGGGACTTACTCTGATCAACTGTGTTTTGCACCAACTTTGGGTTAGATGCCAATTCTTTTCTCACTTCCAGCCTAATGTTTGTTTTATCTTGGTTGCTGCAGTGTTTGACTTCCTTTACTGCTTCTTCAATTTTGTCCTTCTCCTTGGCCACTTGTGCATAGTTAAGTTGCATATCTTTCTTGCACTGTTCTATTCCCTGTGTAACTTCCTCCATCTGTTCTGACAAAAGCTGTTTCTCCTGTTGAATTTCCTTACCTAACCTATTGTAGTCATTAATGTTTAAATGAAAGGTGAATTTTATGTGGAGGTTTTCTGCTCCAGATGACTGCACAAATGGTGATGATAGGAGATGTGTTATGGTGGAGCATCAATGCATATTCAAATCTATTATGACAAGAGATTATTTCTAGCTGGATTGAAAATAGAACATTCATCAATGAACCAAAGGAGCTGAGCACTTCAATAAAGTTCAAATATCAGAATATAATATAGTATATTGCGAGAATTGTAACAAATATGTAAAATTTTGCATTAATTCCAAAATGAAATTTCCATATTTAGCAAATACTGTAGTTGAAAGTTCTACTAAAATTAAAATTACTATAAATTGTTGATTATGGATCGTCATCACTATAAGTACTATCTAAACAGGAGGATGGCTTGCTGGACAACACTCAAAACAGAAAAGGAAATGTTGCAATAATAAAAAATCTTACCCTTGGTAGCCACTGATAATCTTGGGTAACACTCAGAGAACAGGCCACAGGCAGAAGTACGTGATGAAAACCAGTCACCGATAGCCAAGCGTTTAACTACAGGTACAAAATGAGTTTCAAGGTCTTCCGAGTTGTGTTCCACACAAATTTTCCTCAATGAATCAACTGCTTTATCTCGCACATCTTTCTCTTCAACTGTAGCTAAACCCTCAAGAGGCGGCTGCAAGAAAAGAACCAACAAATATATGAAAATGAGGCAAAAAACCAGCGCTGAATGTAATGAAACGCCATTATTTGGGCGAGACCCGGAGGTGCTCAGGAGCTTACTAGGCTGATATGATAATGTCAGACTTTGGCATCAGTCATGTGTATGGAGCCTACCTTCTGTGGGCCTATCGGGGACCACGAGCCAGAACCTGGTTCCCCTCAGAGAGGCATGGGGAGCAATGGCCTATACAGTATCCACTCAATTTAACAGCCTATATGGGGCTGAGCCCTAGTCGTTATTTACGGAGCTCCGTTATTTCCGAAGTTAAGTCGGGTCGGGTAATTTTTCAAGTAACATTCAGGTAGGATATATTTTATACTGTATAACTAAAATTAAATAAAGTTCATTGTGTAATTGCATTCCAATTTAGTGCCACACCGACGATTAAGCCAGTTGTTGGCTGCTGCATGGATGATGTGTGAACACGGTCTGATCAAGCCCAGATGGGTGGGAAAAAATTGATTCATTCCTTTGTATTGCAAAATATTTCATGTAACAATCAGCAAGTTAATATTTTCTCAATAATATTTTAGAGATGTGTTTTGATTTACCCTGAACAGTGCAGGTAATGTATTTTTAATGTTACAACACAGGCTGTGGCGGCCATGCCATAACAATGGCGATCGAGCCTTGTCACTGAGAGATAGCAAAGACGAAATATTTTGAGCTCACCTATTCTCTGCTGACGATAGAATATACATTTGCAGAGACTAATATGTAGCTTTTGTTGAAAAAAAAAAACAATTAATATCTTGTAATACTATAATAAAATTGGTAAATTGACTTACTTTTAATGAAACTGAAGATTACGAAGCTGTGAAGATTACGTCATCCTCTGCAGCGCTTGTTTTATATTGTTTATATTGTATACAGGGTACATACTGTATGTACACTTATTTTCAGGCATATTTTAATAGAGTATCCTTCTGTTTCTTGATGTCACTTACTGTACTTTTCCCGATGTTAAACTCTGCTGCTGCTCGTGCATGAGAATATCCTTTATCAAGTTTCTTAATTAACTCCAGCTTCTGTGCAACCGTCAGGCGCTTCCTTTGGGTAACTTTTGGCATTTTGTAAATTAAAAAGATCACAATTACAGTACAGTAATATCCTTCACAATTGAAGCTAGCCGCGCGAGTTCACGGTAAACAATGGGAACACATGGCCCGGCGGAGTACATACTAGGTCCGTGGGGAAAAAAATACCTAGGGCCTATACATACTATAAAAGGTATTTAATAAGAAAACAAAGACTTTTGCTTAATAAAAACTGTTTCAAAATATTTTATTAATAATAATTTACAATTTTCTTCATTAAAGTGAATCATTTTAAAAGAAAATTAAGATGTAATATATGACTCTGGACGATCCAGGTCGGTGGCGGCCTGGTCGCCATGTGATCGGACGCTGATGCCACAACAAACCCAATACCGACTGTCGGTAATATCGACCGCAGACCGGTATAGCAGGCTCCAGATACTGGGCTCCCAAACCGGTCGTTAATACCGGCAGATCGGTATAAAAGAGGCCGTTAAATTGAGTGGATACTGTAGAAACCCCCGTATATTTGGAAGTATTCTATGTCTGCCATCGACCGGGTCAGGCACCCAGAAAGGTAAGCATCCCAAAACAAACCCCTATTCTGGTGAAAATATTGCTAACAAAAGCCGAACAAGTGGATATAATTCCCCTAAAAGAAATGAGCATGACATCACACGTCGCCGCACTGCTGTCTGCGCAGCTCCCCCCTCCCTGAGAGGGGGAAGGGGGAGCCCCAGAACCCCTACGCCGGCTATCCACCTGTCAGTTCTGAGGCTGGATGTCAAAAATACGCGAAAAAAATGCGGACCTGAGGGAGGGACCTCAGGTCCGCAAGGACCTCATCGAATCACCCCGGTTCAGACAATGAACCACTGGGGAGCAGTCCGAATGGAGTTGGATCGTCGATCCACGGGCGACCCGAATCCTCAGAAGAACGAACCACGCAGCTGCAAACTCCCGCACCATGCTATGGGCTCGATGGAAGGACGGACCCCCACCGTCCCTGGCTGGCCTGGTGAGCACTGGTCACAAAGCCCCAGCCGAGAGACGACGCATCCAGGAACACATCGAGCGAGGGCTCGGGTAGGTGCCAAGGCACTGAACCCCGAAAACCTGAAGAGGAAGCCGGCGATGCAGCAGCTGACGCAAGGCCTCCGGGGTCCGAACCCAGCGATCGCGAGAGAGGTGGATGGGACGTTCCCGAAGGAACCAGAACAGCCAACGAAGTCAAACCTTACCCGGCGGGTAGACCATCATTGCGAAGTTTAGGCTCCCGCACAGACCTTCGAGCAACTGCTGGGTGTTCTGAGAGACCCCCATAAACAGGCGCAAGTGGGACCACAACCGCAGGAGAGACTCCAGAGGGAGAGATAAGGAAGCGGTCCAAGAGTCCAACACAAAACCCAGCCATGTCCGAACCTGGAAGTGAACCAGATGGGACTTCTTCCAGTTCACCAAGAACCCGAAACCGGCGAGTTGGGACAGAACCAAATAACTGGCTAGCAGACAACTGGACCGACTGGGAGCCCAAACCAGCCAGTCGTCGAGGTAGGCCAACACCCAAACAGACGTAGACACACGCCACTACGACCCGTGTAAGGCATGTGAACACGCGAGGTGCCAGCTTCAACCCAAATGGGAGACAACGAAAGCGGTAACCCTGATGCCCCACAACAAACCCGAGCCAGTTCCTGAACCCCGGATAAATCGGGACGTGCCAATAAGCGTCACGGAGGTCCAAGGACACCATCCAAGCACCCGGCTCCGACATAAGGCGATCCTGGGATAGTGTAGTCCTCCGAAAGAAGGGGCAATGAACCCAGGGGTTCAGACGGGACAAGTCCAGAATGAACCGCTGGTCCGCACTGTCCCGTTGCGGTACTGGGAATAGACGGGAAACCCACCTGAGGGACGTCGTAGTTTCGACTACACCCAAGCGAACCCACTCCAAGACGACTCGACAGAGCTCAGGGGAAGAGGCCTGCCCCCGCCAGCCTCAATCCTCCCGAAGGAGGAGGGGGCCACCCAATGCCACTGCAGGCCTAGAGAAATGACCCGAAATGCCCACAAATTGTGGGACCAAGCGTGAGTGAACAGCGCAAGCCTCCACCCAATGCCCCTCAATGGGGCAAACCGCGAAAGGGCCAGCGCCCCTTATGAGACCCAGAACCTCGCACAGAGCGACCACCGTACCGACCAGACGAAGGTGGGACTGAAGGCGGGACTAAAGGCGGCGCTGGACCTGAACCCGGCACCTGTGGCCTACCACGACGAGAGGAACCCCCGAGCCCTGGCACGACCCCTCCGGGAAGGCCCCCCCGGAACTCCCAGAGAACCAACAAGTCAGACATAATAGGCCGACAAGTAGCTGAAGCAGCCTGAATATGCTGCGCCACGGCCGAATCCTCAAAAAGCAGAAGACAAAAGGGAGAAGACTTCCTAAGAGCCAAGGCCCAGGCTGATTCCAGGGAGGAGACAAGCACCACCTGCCGATACGCGAGCCGGGAAGCATAGAACAGGGATACCGCATCCCGCAGGATCAGCGCAAACAGCTTCAGCAAGACAGCTGACAAGTGGGCCACCGAATCCTAGACACCGGACCCAGGGACAGCCCCAAGTACCCCTACATCCTCCTCAAGCCAGTCCGAAGACAGTTCCAGGAAGGAAAAGAAACGCAAGGCCAAAAGGCCACTGGCGCGCATGTCCTCAACAACCTGCACAGTTGAGAGGGAGGGAACCTACACATGGAGCTGCACCACGCCCACATCCGGGAAAAGGACAGGGGCAAACAAGCACTCATTAAGGTGCTTCAGGTCACCCCCCAGGAAAACCTGAACCACAGTCGCAGCCTCGTGCCATTCAAGCGTGCGGGTACGGCAGAAAGAATGCCAAGCCTCTAAAGCAAAGACAGGACAGTCTGCCAGCCAGGACGACTCCGGAACCTCGTAACGGACCCAGAAAGGGAAAGTAGTCCCAAACCTGAACGAAGACGGATCCATCACCGAGGCATAATCTTTGGCGGGGCTTTTGGTGCAGTGCCACATGAAAGACTGATTAAAAAGATAGAGTCTCATGGTATTGGGGGTGCTATATTAAGCTGGATTAGGGCATGGCTATACCAAAGGAAACAGAGAGTTAGTATAAATGGAATCAAGTCAGAGTGGGAAAATGTTGTAAGTGGAGTGCCTCAAGGCTCTGTCCTGGGACCTCTGTTGTTTATAATTTATATAAATGATTTAGATTCAGGTTTGAGTAGCAACATTTGCAAATTTGCCGATGATACGAAAATCGGTAGGGAAATTAATTCGGAGGAGGACTCACTATCACTTCAAGTTGATCTAGATAGGGTTTTGAAATGGTCAAAGGATTGGCAGATGCAGTTTAATGCTGATAAATGTAAAGTTCTGAGGTTAGGTAATGATGATAGAGTTACAAGATACGAGCTAGATGGTGTTGTGATTGCGAAGTCGGATTGCGAAAGGGATCTGGGAGTTATGATTAGTAAGAATTTAAAACAAAAGGATCAATGCATAAATGTTCGTAATAAGGCAAATCGGACACTTGGATTTATTAATCGCAGCGTTAGTAACAAGACACCTGGTGTGGTTCTCAAGCTATATCTTGCTCTAGTTAGGCCCCATTTAGATTATGCAGTTCAGTTTTGGTCGCCATATTATAGAATGGATATAAATTCACTTGAACGTGTCCAGCGTAGGATGACTAAGTTAATTCCCCAAATTAGAAATCTTTCATATGAAGAAAGATTAACAAAGCTTAAGTTGCATTCACTGGAAAGGCGAAGAGTTAGGGGTGACATGATAGAGGTTTACAAGTGGATGAATGGACATAACCGGGGGGATATTAATAGGGTATTAAAAGTATCAACACAGGACAGAACACGAAACAATGGAT